AATATTCTTGAATAATTATAATTTTAAAAATTAGTCAATGTCATCTTGATTGCAGAAGTTTGATGGTTCATACACATGCCAAAACACATCAAATTATAGACTTTAAATGAAAAACTAAATACTATGTATTTTATAATATCAATTATATTTCAGTAAAGCTGTTTGTATATAATAGAATCTAGTTAGTAGGCATATGGATGTGAACTATAAGATTTCTAATGTTGACATATACTTTAATAGTTTTCATAATGAAAGTTTCATCAGCTGAAAAGTTCTATGAATACATACTAGAACATAGTTGTAACAATAATAGTTCAGGAATGAGAATTGGTTATTAGCCCAAGAGTGTAAGAAAAAATTTGATGAGTTCTCCAGTGTACTCCTTTCACAAAAGTGACTCCTTAAAATCAGGAATTATGTCCTAACTCAATCTTTTTGTTTTTCCTTTTTTTTTGGTACCAGAGATCAAACTCGGGACCTTGCGCTTGTGAGGCAGGCGCCAGAACTCCTAACTCAATCTTAACCTTTCTGTACAGCTTCTGGTATAATGAGGGTTATATGACCATTATATTATATATTATATATAGTATATTATATATAGTATAATATATATATTATTCTATATAGTAAGTGGTCACTGGACATAATCTCTATTAAAAAGAGAAAATTGGAAGATTAATATAAAAAAACCAAAGTTAAAACAAGAACTCTAATGACACAAACATGTCATGACAAAAAAAAGTAAAATTTTTCCAAATGATATAATTTTGGAAAAACCAAAAAGAAAGAGTAAATTAAGAGGGCTATAAATTAGAGGTACTTCTGTGTTGCAAATGATAATTCTATCACAAAAACCATTCTTTTTTGAGAAGAAAGGTCTAATAGGATGAATAAAAGTAGAAAGGAAAAAAATGGAATCAGGAACAGGAAAATAATGCAATGACAGGAACAAGGCAATACAGTGTACCTATCAGTTGTAAATCTTAATCTGAATGGGCCAAATTCCCCAATGATGGTGAACCTTTTAGAGCTTTCAATAATACAAACAGCCCACTGCAGCATTATGCCATAGGTTCGCCACCACTGCCCCATCCAAAAGACAGGCTGGCAGAATGTATCAAAAAAAAATACCCAAAATCTAACAGTACTTTGTGTACAAGAAACATATTTAACCCAAAAAGAAATTCATGGACTAAAATCCAAGGATGGAAAATAATATTCTGTGCAATGGGAACCCAAAATTGCAAGTGTAGCTATCCTACAATGCAAATTACAAGACTAAAAAGACTGGAAAATAGTTTCATATCACATTTTCTGATAAAGCATTTGCCTCCAATATAGAAAAAATTCTCAACTATCAACAATAAGAAAACAGCCACTCTGTAAAAAGAGTCTGACAGTTTCTCAAAAAGTTAAACAGTGGGCTGGGGATTTAGCTGCCTAAATGGTTCCACCATTTAGTTCCACTGCCTGACTTGCAAGCACAAGGACCAGAGTTCGATCCCTGGTACCAAAAAAAAAAGTTAAATAGTGTTACCATATGACCCACCCAAACCACTAAGTATATATCAAAGAGTATTTTATGTCCATTAAAAAAACTTGTACGTGGATGTTCACAGTGGCATTATTTCTGAAAAGTGGAAATAACCTAAATGTCTACTAACTGATGAGTAGATACACAAAATGTGGTATAATCCTTACAATGAAATATTATTCAATCTATCCTTCAACATACAGAATCCTGAAAATATAATCTAAAATTAAGGAAACCAGAAACAAAAGGCTGCCTGCTGTATGATTCCATTTAAATTAAATGCCCAAAATATATAAATTCATTAAAAAAAAAAAAAAAGTAAATTAGTGGCTACCAGGGATAGGAACAGGAAAGAATGGCAAGGTGACTGCTAATGAGTATGAGGTTTATTTGTGGAGTGTCTAAATGTTGCTATTAGTAGGGATGGGTGCACAATTTTGTTACTATATTTTTTTAAAAACCACTAAAATGTACATTTTTAAATGGAAAATTGTACTGGGCCTGGTGGCACCCACCTATAATCCCAGCTACTTCGCAGGCTGAGGTAGGAGGATTACATGTTTGTGGCAGGACAACTTAGCTAGATCCTATCTGCCCCTCCTAAAAGTAGGGATTGGGATGTAGCTTAGTGGTACAGTGCCCCTGAGTTTAATTTCCATTGCTAAATAAATAAAATAAATAAATGAATAAATGGGAGAATTTTAGGACATGAATTAAATCTCAATAGAAAAAGAATACAACTTAAAATAAGCAAAAGATTTGAACACTTCACTGACAGAAATACACAAACAGTAAAAATGAACATTAAGATACCCAAAATCATTAATCACCAAGAAATGAAAACCACAAAGCTTTACCACTACATACCTAGTAGAATGACTAAAAAGTATTTTTAAATGACAACAGCAATTGCTCAGTGGATGTGATGTAATTAAATCCTGATACAATACGTGCACACATAAACCTGTACATTAGTGCCACAGTGGCTTTATTCATAATTTTCAGAAAATGAAGTATTCTTCCATTGGCAAATGGGTAAACATTTACAGTAAAACGTAAAACACAATAATTAAATAGCGAAGTATGCTATACATGGATGACTTTCAAATATGTTTTTTAAAAAGCCAGACTCAAAAGCTACAAACCATAATTCCACTGGGAAAAAGACAAAATGACAGAGATGGAAACAGATGAGAGGCTGCCAGGAGGCAGAGTGGGGTCCACTACAATGGAGCAGGAGCAGAAATATGGGGGTTTAATGGAATTTTTCTGAATCATCATTGTGATGGTGTAAGTACCTCAGTTATTTGTCAAGACATACAGAACTGTACACAATGAAGAACTTTGTAAACTTTAGATAAATCCATTTGCTGAGAAATCACACTCTATGTAAACCCCACCTTGAATGCAGAAGCAATGTTTCACTACAGATCAAAGCACAACTCAAAGAGTTTTTAAGGCTTCTTTCTGAGATACTATGGAGACAAGTTTTATTTTCACTTTGCAGCACAGATTAAACAATCTGCAAGTTATTTAGCACTTACGTTCCTAATTCTGTAATCCATACTCTATATCACAGTACCTGGTGACGAGATTTTCTTCTTTTAAAATCAAACTTACTTGCTTATATTATTTCATAAACGAGAAGACTCATGATAAACAAGTATTTTAGAAGAAGCCTGGAAGTGTGTCTATATCCAAGAATAAAGTACTTTAAAAAATCACTGTACTATGCACACAAACAACCTTAACTTTGTCCTGGGACATTCCTTTCAAAAAGGAGTCTAATTTGTAACAGATGTTTGAAATACATAAGGTTGTAATGTAAAAGATAAAAGCACTAAAAATAAAGCTTTAAGTAAGGGAACACAGCTGCACAACACAGCTGGGAAAACACAGGGCAGTCCTTTACCACTAACCAGCGCAGGCGCGCTTTCCTCCCTGCCCTTGGCAGGTCTGAGATGCTGCCAAACCCATCTCCCTTTTCTTAAAACTCATTAATTTACCGAGGCTTACAAAATCCCACACAGCCTTGTACACAGAACACATTCCTCCTGGGTCACACTGTGGGCTAAAAAGACACAAGCAACTTGAGTTACTGTCCTAGGAGTTTCCGGTCTGTTATCAGCCGAACTCAGGCCAGCAACCCTTGGGGGAAGCGGAGGCCGGAGGCGGAGCCAGGTACCCGGAGTCTGGCCGCAGGGCGCGTCCAGGAGGAGGAGGGCGTCCGGGTCACCGCGCGAGGCGGCGTGCCACACTCCTGGGCTCTCCAGAGCCTTTGTCACAAACCACGGGGAAAGGACAAGGCTGAGACCCAACCCAGCAGCGCGTCGCGGCCAAAGCCGAACCGACCGCTCGGGACGAGGGAGGAAACTGGCGCCGCGCGCAACTTGGACTCCAGACCCGGCGCCCCTCGGGCCGCCCCGGCGTTCCACTCCGAAGAGGGGATCCTGTCACCCTGTACTCAGGGCCCCCAAAGCAGCTCGAGCCGGAACCGCCGCCCGCCTTTACGTAACTTGTCGCGGAGGCGGCAGGCAGGTGGCAGCGCCGGCCCGGGGACGGGAACACGAGGGGCGGCGGCGGCCTCGTTACCTGACCAGATGCCCAGGGACAGCTGAGACGTGTCCAGGTTCACCACATAGTCCCCTAAGAACCGGTTCAACACGTCCACGACCAGTGACTCGAATACCATTTTTCTCAGCGGCGGAGGGCACGGCGGCCGGCCCCCGCCCCACGCCCTTTCCTCGAGACACCGCCTTCACCGGCTCCGGGGTGGGTCTGCGTGGCGCCACCGCCGGCCCCACGCGCAGCCCCAGCGTGAGCCCAGCGAGGGAAGAGACCGCCGCTTCCGCCGCGCGTGCGCGACTCCGCCCGGCGGTGGGGGCGGGGCAGGACGCGGGCCCAGGGAGCCAGAGAGGGCGGCTGCGCGGCCTCGCCTCGAGGCGTGCTCCTTTTGGACGCCGCCCGGCGCCTCTCTCGTCGGCCCCGCCTCCTCGTCCGTCGCCTAGCAACGCAACCTTGGTCTGGAGCTGCAGGACTTTTTCTGGAGCTGCAGGACTTTTTCCGGACCTCGGCCCCACGTGCAGGCCGGATTGTGGACAGGCTGTTTGCGCTAGGCGGGGAGCGGTGCTAACCGCCCCACTGGACTGTCCCTCCCCACCCCCGTAGGAGGAGACAGTGTCCGCCCACTGCGAGCTGGAGGGTCTGCCCCTAAGTCAGGAGTGGGCCGACTCCACCTCCCTTTTCTGTTAGGCCTAAGGCTCCCTAGAGGGTGTCCCGGAGAGCGTTCCCGCCTCTATCACCTCAGATCGCGAGGGGCCCGCCCGCCTGCTTTCCGCACGCTTCTGCCCACCCATTCCCCCTTGGGATGCCTTATCACCCCGCTGAAAATCGGGGCGGGAGAAGTGATCAAGAGTCAGCTCGAGAATAGAATTCCATCTCCCTTCCTTGCAATTGCAATAGGCACGCTAAAAATTTTGGTTAAGTCATTTATGGCCTCTTTCCATTCCAAATAGTGGCACGGTTCGCTGCAGATATCGAGTTAGCCAGTCTGGAAACTGTGGAGGGCCCTCCAAGGAGGTCCTAGACCCTCACACCTGACCTAAAATAAATAACCATTAGAGGTTTCTCAGCCCCGTCTGGGCTTGTATAGAAATAGGCCCCAAAAGTCTGAGGTTACGGAGACAGTAGATGTGAGAATTAGAGAGTTATGATTACTCATCTTAAGGACTTCAGATGTAGGAGGGTACTTTGAACTTTTTTCCTGCGTGGCAAATAAATAATGATGGCTTCTGTTATTTGCTGTATCATTTTACTACATTTTGTGCACAGTCAGCATGTTTTTCAAAATTGTTTCAGTTTGCCTTTGTAAGTATAATGCCTATGAAAATCTGTAAATTTTCATTTACATGAATTTATGAATTATTTTCATATAATTTTATATTTGAAGGTTCTTTCCAGGATTTCCAGTGAAACCTTCTGATCTTTAAGATAACGAAACTGAGATATTAGGAATTTGACCAAAGTCACACAGAACTAAGACCTGGTCCTTCTGACTCCCTACCCTCCAACCACTCCACCTGCTGGTCTCGGATTTGGCTAACAACGCTAGAAATCTATATGGAGAAACTAATAGAGGCTAAAATGCCCGGGAAGATATAACACTATATAATGAGATATTTTACTACAATATTAATAAGAAACCAAATATGCATTAGCTACAAAATTCCAGTTTTATCTACTACCATAAATTTAAAGTTATGAGAACAGTTACATTTAAATAGCTTAAAAACACTTCGTAGTTTTCTACAATCCAGTTGTCTACAATTTGTGAAATTGAGGGGAGAGATGCTGCCAAAAAATCAGAAATATGAGCAATTAATTCCTAACAGCAATGAAAAAAACATGTCAAGGAAGATAAAAATAAATAAAATGCATATTGTAAATGAATCTTTATCCATTGTTAGGTGGTAAGCGCAAACACCTAATTACTAAACATACTATTATCTAATTACTAAAATATACTATTTTATATCCAGTTATTGTCTTGCTTAATCCATCTGAGAAAGTTTGTAGGCAAAAATATATTGTCATCATGTAAAAGCTAGGTACATTCATTAAGACGTTTCCTTTGGGCCTTGAAAAGTAAACCAAAGACTACAAATAACTCAGGTTTCAAATTTGGGAATACTGTATGTTTTTCTCCAGATCATAATTAAAATGCTAAATTAAATGCATTCAGAGTTTGATCAAATGAAGAAAAGAAAAAAAAAAATTCAAATGACTCCAAACTGCAATTGCAATACTATCCAACTCACAGCAAATATCTAACTTTTACAAGTACTGTAGGACTTTCTGTTTTATGCTTAGTCTACTCACTTTTCATCTGTGGAGTTTGAAGCTGTTGGTCATAACCTTGGGCTGTTTTTTCCCCTTCAAATTGTAATTCTTCTTCTGTCCACAAGTATAAATCATTACACTTGATCTTAGCCAAAAGGCCGAGAAGCGATCACAAGTATAAATCATTAATATGCTGTTTGTCCTTACAGTCCCCATTCAATGTCAATATTGTATTTGTAGGTTAGACAGCTAGAGTTCAAAACCACTGAAGCAGACCACATTCCTGAAAAATATCTTAGAGGATAATGACCATGTTACAGAACTTTTAATGACCTAACATTTAAAAGCCCTGTCTCAGTTAAAGCTTAAAAGTTATAAACAATGAAAGATTGCTTGGATTTATGTTTTCCAATCTCTAAAAGAAAGAAAAAAAAAGAAATTTGTTGGAAGGGGAATACAAGCAAAGATGAGAACCTTTCAGAAACCCTATTCTGGCAGTGCAGGTAGAACCATAAATCTTTCAAAAAGGGAGTTTGTAAGCATCCACAAACTGATATGTGTGTATATCAGTGTATGCACATATACATATACACATACATACATATATATGACTTTTTCTAGTGATTTAATCTAAGAACATAATTACAAAAATCTCAAAAGCTAGTCGCACAAGAATATTCATTAAAGATTTGTTATAATAGCAAAAAAATCAAAGTAAGTTAAATATTCATCAGTACGGAAGCTAGCTAAGTAAACACACATACAATAGGTTATTACACAGGTATTAAAATAATGAGGATCTATAGTAATATGGAAGGTTGTCAGAAACTTATGCTTGCAGGAAACAAGGTAAGAATAGTATCATACCAAATGTATACATTGTTGATGAATGTGCAAAAGATATATGTATACAGAAGACGCAGAAATCTAGAAATATGCTTCCTAAATGTTAATAGTAGTTATCTCTAGTTAGTGGGGCTTCTGGTAACATGTATTTTCTCTGTTCTCTGAAGTTTAATTTTTTAATTTGTTCTTCTAAACAGAGGAGGAATGTATTAGAGATATTACTACATTATATATTATTTTGTAACTCTTTGGGAAAACTATGCATCCACATGGATCAATTGCTCTCCCTAAGATAAGAGCTAACCTTGTTGGAGAATTTTTATAAAAATGTATGTGAACTCTTAAACGTCTGCCAGAAGACATTAGCAGACATTTCCCAAAGAGTATGTGCAGATGGCAAATAAGCACATGAAAACATGAACATCATTGGCCAACAAGAAAATGAAAATTACGAGATATCAGAATATCTTACCATATTTTTCCCATCAGAATGTCTTTTAAAAATAGTGATAACACCAAATGCTGGTGAGGATATGAAGAATCTGGATAAGTCATGTTTTGGAGGTGGGATTGTAAAATAATACATCCACTCTAGACAATAGGCAGTTTTCTGAAAAAACTAAACATGCTTACCATGTGAACCAGCAAGTCTACTCCTAGACATTTATTCCTCAAGAAATGAAAACTTATGTTCACACAAAAATCTATACATAAATGCTCATAGCAGCTTTATTCATAATAACTGAAGCTAGAAACAACCCAAGTTTTTTTTTCAACTGATGAATAGTTAACAAATGGTGGCACATCTATACTATGGAATACTACTCAGTAAACAAACAGAATGAACTACCCATCCATACAACTGGAATGGGTCTCAGGGGAGTTATGTTGTATAAAAAAATGTATGATTTCATTTATAAAACATTCTTGAAATAGGGCTGGGTTGTAAACATGTGTGAGATCCTAGGTTTAATTCCCAGGACCATAAAAATATTCTTGAAATAAAATATACAAATAATCTACATTAATGGTTGTCAAAAGTTAGGTCTGAGCAGAAAGAGCAGTTGTGGCCACAAATAAATAGCAAGAAAGGGTCTTCTTTACGGTGCACTTTTAAATCATGATTGCAGTAGTGGTTATATACAATTGTATAAAATTACACACAGAGAGAAGCACAAACAAAACTGGTGGAATTGAAATAAGTGTCAAGGTTGGTACTGACATCTTTATTTCTTTGTTTTGATATTGCACTGTAGTTATTTAATATGTTACCATTGGGAGAAACTGAGTGAAGTGTACATGGAACCTCCCTGTATGTTTGTCAAGTTCCCATGAAGCTATAATTATTTTTAAAATAATTCTTTAAAGGGTTTGCTAATCTGAGGTCAACTAGGGAGTACCCCAGAGAATAAGATAAATTTCAGTGTTAAGAGATTTTATGTGATGCTTTAGTATCCTGTGCAAGGTGCTTGGTTTAAATATTCAAGGAAACATATTTGAATGTGGTCCCTTATTGTAATGTATTAAAATATCAATTGCTCCATGATCTCCATTAAAATGCTTGAAAGAAGGATTTACAGCACAATAGGGGATTTCAAAGCATATTTTTCTGGGTGTAAATATCTAAAATGATTGGCCTCTTCTCAGATAAAGAGGATCTTAAATCCTGATGACTATCAATACTTACTAATCTCAGATTTTTACATGGCTCATTTTACAGGGCTGATTGTCATTCAGTTTTGTGCCCAGATATCATCTAATCAAAGAGTTCTTTTTTTATTTATTAGTACATGTTTGCAGTACATAGCTGATTACATTTACCGTGTGAAGTTGGCACATGTATACAATACACCTTAATTCTTCTTCCTTTTCATTTCCACTCTCTACCTCTCCCCTCCATGCCTGCTCCTTCTAACTCTTGACCCCCTTCCCATTTGCAAAAGCTCTATTTTCATCATCATTTTTCCCCTTCAATTCTTTTTTATCAATCCCTTTTCCCTCCCCTCCCTCCATCTTTTTCCCCCTATCCATTTGAAAAAGATCTCTGTACTATTTATTTATCTATCATATATAGAGTTTTTCATATAAGAGAAACCATGTGATGTTTAAGCTTGTGTGTATGACTTATTTCACTTGACATTATATTCTCAGGTTGCATCCATTTGCCTATG